GCCACGATTTTGGACCACTACAGGTGACCTGGTTGCATAGTGGTTAGGCTGTTAACTTCAAGGTTGGTACTTCCATGAACTACCAGTAGTGGGTGAAAGATGAGGCTTTCTACTTCCATAAAGACTTACATTCTCTGAAACTCTCGGGATGTTCTACTCTGTCACTATGAGTGAGAATTGACTGGAAGACAGTAAAGATTGGTAATGCTGACAAGTAGCACTTCTCTTGGCCCATGGAAAGGGTCAGCATCAGATGTACAGATTGCTCTTGGAGTAGGGCTGGTGCCACATCTGTTTCTGGTTCCAGGAACTCTAAAGGCGCCTAGGTAAGGCTCCATGACCAGAAGGATTGCATCTCAAGTTATTTGAGAAAATACCCAGCCATCAGGCAATGCCATCTATAAACCAATAAAACCAATAAGATAATTAGACCGAACCCACCTCAATTTGGCTGAACTCCATGCTCATTACTCTGTGCCAAGGTCAGGAATATCACAGAAAGGTATACCAGGAAAGTGTGGCAAGGTGAATTCACTCAAGCCTAAGGTCAGTCACCATGGAGAGGAAACATAGGTGCTGGGCTACATCCACTGGGTCCCACTTCTGACTCTTGCTCTTAGAGGCTGTCCAGTTGCCTTTACTCATTGTGTTAGGCTGGGTTTCTAGAGAAACAAATCCTGTGACCCTCATCAATGTATAAGAAAGAGCTTTGTATCAAGAAGGTTTCCCAGCCCTGTCCAGCTCAAGTCCGTGCGCCCTTTGCTAGCTGGAGCCCTCTTCAGACTCATGTGGTCGCAGGCCAATGATGCAGAAAGGTGAAGCAGGAAGCAGAAAGTTCACAGGCTGGTGGGTGTAGGGTTGTGTTGGTCCAAGGTCAGAGAAAACATGGCAGAGCGCCAATAGTTCTCAGAGTTGAACAGTCCTCAAGCAGGGTCCTAGCAAGCAGGAAGGCAAAGGAGCAGAGAGAGAGGAAGGGCCCCAGGGCCTCTCATAGAAAGACCACCTCTCCCAGGAAGCATCATCCACCTGACTGACAGATTGGACTTCGCCCCGACACAAGTGTGAATTAACATAAAATCTAACTGCCAGACTCCTCTCATGGAGTGGAGACCCCACATCCCATAGAAGAAGCCCCGCTGTCCAATCCTGTACCACCTTCACCATGGCTGGTATGCTCAAATTCCCGGTTGCAACCACTGGATTTTGAGTGCCTTCCCGTCTTGAGGGGCTCAACCCCCAGCACGCTGTCCGACAACATCCTGCTGTGATCTGGCTCATTTTCAGAAACAGATGTCCAGACCTTCTTCTTAGTCTGGAAACTCTGCGGAAACTTTTCCACCGTGGGTGACCTTGCTCGAATGTCAAATGACTCAGACATCCCTTCCAGCATCATAGCAAGTGCAAGCTAGCACGATGCAACGAGTAGACCCGTGGTGCCCTTCTGACCCTTGCTCGATTCAAAACCTTCTGCAAGCCACTCACGCTTTCTGATGTTCATCAAACAGGCCGAATG